GAGCTAATAATCATTTGTTGATCCGACTCCGATCAAAGAAACTAGACTTGTTAGTGATTCAGAAGTTCCAACAATTGCAATTTTGCTTCAAACATACATATACATACAAATTTCTAGGGGTGAACATGGTATGATACCATGTTTTTTTTAATACCGTGTATCAACCAGTTATAATTGGTAGACAAGTATTTATACGTCTACCAACCAGCTCTACTTGGTATCAACTTAATTGGTACCAATTTTATTCAGTTGGTACATGTTAGTACGATTTTGTACCAACATCTTAAAAGTTGAAGTTACAAATTCATCAACATAACATATTGTCCAAAGAAGTGAAACAAAAGTAATACAACAAAAGCATTCAAGCAACGTGTAGAGGTGTAGATCGTGTGGTCGTCGAACGATGGAAGTGTGTGCGTTTTGAGTAGAGGWGGAGATGAGGAGTTACTAAGGCCCCGTTTACTAATCTCTTACCACCTCTTACCCGCCTCTTACCCATTAAGAGATGCTTACCCGGGTAAGAGGTAAAAGTGTTCACTAAAAAACAAAATGAATCTCCCTCTGACCGTCCTCTTACTGGGGTTAGCAAAAAAAACCAATCTTACCATGGTAAGAGGCATCTATTCCTTATCTACCCTCCCATCTAAAACCCTAAAAATCGGTGAGCTCTTCTTCATACCAAACTGGTGCGACAGCTTCTTCAGTTATGGTAATCGATTTCCAAGGGATTTCTTCTTCCTTTTATTGATTTCTAACATCCTAATCGATTTCTTGATTTCAATATATTTTCGTAAACAAAAAAGAATTTAAAATTATATTTAAATTTTTTGATAAATAACATTTTATGTTAGCACTTAATACAATACATATGGTAAACAATAATTTTCAATCAGTACTTACTCCAGAAAGAGGGATATAATGGTCTTTTTTACACAATCAGCACTTAATACAAAATGTTTGGTAAACAAGAAAATCCAATCTGCTCTTACTCCAGTCAAACCTTTTGCCACTGTCAGACATCTTACCCGAATCAGCATTTAACCAAAAAAATTGGTAAAAGTCCCCCAAGTAATGAGTTAAGGTTGCTAAGAGGAGGCGTGGAGGAGTAAGTAATGCGCTAAACAGTAAATAATAAAATGTTAAATTGAAAAATTCCTCGTTAAAAAATGAATTTGAAACATTAATAATTAAATATAATTCACCTAATTGATTTTTTATTTAATAAATAACTATATATATATATATATAAGTTAGTACGGTACGGTATTACCGTCGTAGGCGCTTTCTAATATCACGTATCAACCAAGTTTATGAAGTTGATACGGTACTACCAACCAACTTAAATTTGTACCAATTTAATTAGTGCGCTTGGTAATACAATTGGTTGGTTTGTCATAGTACAAATGTGACACCCCCACAATTTTCAAGGGTCATTCACGGGAGAACTCAGTATTCTGTGAGATCTTATCTCAATCACAAATCAAAGGTTAAACTAAGAAATTAATATATATATATATATATATATATATATATATTTTTTTGTAATTTTGACTTAAAATTTTAAATAGAGGGTATTTTAGGCATTTTAGAATTCTTTATCTCTTCTCTCTCATCTCCTCTCCCCCATCCGGTGCGAGCATTCCACTGTGATACTCACGTATTCATGTTTTGATAGATTAATTAAGATCATTTTCTCTATGTACGTACCCACTATTACATGTTGTAATATAAGATACATAATGTGATACACTGTAAACAACGAAAACAAATGATATGATACAAAAAACAACGGAACATCGAAAATACACATTATGTTATTGGCATCAATGATTCAAATATAACTCAAGTGTGGGGTGTTATGGATTTCATATTTATGAGAGTTATGAGTTTTCTGTTTATGGAATAAATTAATTAAACGCATTTATGAATTCTTTTTTTAGTTACTAAATTATTCTTATTTATTTAATAAATAACATAGTTTATACTATATTATAGAACGTTTGACGAAACTCTTAAAAACCATCTTTTATGCATAAAGTACTATGTAAAGATGCATATTCTTTAAAATTCAAGATTACAAGTAGATTTTGTGTAAGTACAACTTATTAAAGCTCCATTTTTGAATTGGTGTTACTAACGGTAGATACACATAATCAAATACAGGATAAATGTATCATTTATTTAAATATAATAAATTTAATATATAATTAGGATAATCATTGAGTTCTAATAGAATACTTAATTATTATCTTTATAAAAAATATATTATTAAATCAAAAATAAATTACAACAAAAAAATTTGAATTACAGAAATCATACAAAAAAAAATGAAAATTTATAAATAGTTAATTTGGTATCAATATTGATATTTTTAAAATTTTTATAAGATCTTCAAATTTGAATTTTGTTCAAACATAAAAACATTATCATTTTCTCAAAACCACATAAACTGTATTATATTATAACATCGACATAGATAAAAAATAAAATAAAATATTAAAATTGAGATGTATCTCGCTGCATTTTACGAGTACCATTCTAGTTATCTTAAATGAATGGTTTATATTGGATATCGTTAACTTTACAAATTATAGAGTTCTCGTTTAATTAAACCCTCAACTTTTAATGGGGGACCGGTTATATATAGTTTATATATGATACTTATAGTTAAGGTTGGATTCACATGAGATCAACTTGTTTTCGTAAGACTCGTGAAACCACAAAATTACATTGAAACTTCCAAATACTGTAAAGGTACAAAAACACCGAAACTTCATAACAGAAACACTCATTCACACTGGTTTGCTGTGAAGGTTCAACGTGATTAATATGGTYTCATGAAAACAATCTGGTCTTACATAATCGCAAGTGTAGTTATGTTACCTATTATTTAATTATTTATAAGAGTAGTTAGGAAGTGAGGGATGTAATTGTGGATTTTGAAAACTTGAGGGACCACTGATAAGTTTTTWTGAAGCGGTTATCGGTTAGTGCCACATGTCATGGATCCTAGGACTTATCCATTTCGGAGCCGGACCCACAAACAAAAGCAACCAATGATCGAATGCCACGAATMATGACAAACCCATGTTCCTTAACTTCCTCACACAGCACACAAACTCAATTTGGATATTTCCACTTCAATTATCCMTTTGTTTGTTGGAACTTTATCCATTTACTTTTGTTCCTTTCTTAACCTTATTTTTAATATAAAATTAATTTAATTTAATTTATAATTTATATTTATACTATATTATAAAGTATTTGATAAAAACTTTTAAAAATAATTTTTTTATGTATGAAATACTATTTATTTATGCATATTACTTAAAATTTAATATTACAAATAATTTTACGTAAATAAAACTTATTAAAGCTTCATTTTTAAATTCATATAACTAACTGCGGTTAAACATAATCAAATACAGGATAAACATTCATTTTAAATATAGAAAATCTAAAATATAATTAAGATAATCATTGAATTCTAACAAAATGTTTAATTATTATTTTTATAAAAAAATCATATTGTTAAACCAAACATAAATTACTTTGTTATTAAATCTAAACTAAATTATAATAAAAATTTGAATTAAAGAAGTTACACAAAAAAAACGAGATCTATTAAATAGTTATTTGATACTAACATTGATTTATTTTTTTCAAATTTTTATGCTATCTTCAAATTTATATTTCATTCAAAAATAAAAACATTATCGTTTTCTCAACACCACATAAAATCGTATTATATCGATTGAGACAAAGAATAATAACTAAACATTCAAATCGAGATTTATCTCGCTGCATTTCGCGAGTACTCTTCTAGTTATATTATAATATATTTAACAAAAACTTTTAAAAATCATTTTTTATGCGTTAAGTATTGTTTATTGATGCATATTCTTTAAAATTTAAGATTACAAATAGATCATGCATAATTACATTTTATTAAAGTTTCATGTTTAAATTCGTGTAACTAACTATTGATAAATATAATCAAATACAAGATTAACATTCCATTTTAAAAATATAAAAAATCTAAAATATAATTTGAATAATCATTGAGTTTTAACATAATACTTAATTACTATCCTTATAAAAAATATATTATTAAATCAAAAATAAATTACTTCGTTATCAAATCTAAATTAAATTATAATAAAAAATTAAATTAAAGAAATCACGCAAAAAAACAAGAACTTTTAAACAGTCAATTTGATACAAATATCGATATATTTATTTTTAAAATTTTATTATATCTTCAAATTTATATTTCTCAAAACCACATATATCGTATTATAACATCTACAGAGACAGAATAAAACGAAACACTAAATCGAAATATATACATATCATTTTATTGCACGAGTACCTTCTAGGTATATTCTAAAATATTTAAATTCAAAAATTTAAATCTTTTTATTTAAGTTTATGATTTATTGTTGCATGAGCGTAACTTTTAAAACTTAAGTTGGTGATTTGGCATTGTGATTGTAGAAATTTCTCGTTAAGGACAAAAATAATAAGTTCGGATTTAAAAAAAATAGCGTAATCTTTTTAGGTTTTGTTCGAGGACACTTGATTCACCTATTCTTCATAGGAATCTGTCGTTAGGCATGGAAATGGGGAGGGGACTCCAATCTCCGCCTTGGAATTTGATCACATTCGTGTTCCCAACAGGGAAACATAGATTTTTTTTCCGTTTGTTTACTTTTTCTTAAATCAAATGTGTGAGACATTCCACATGTTTAAATCTCCCATTTTTAACAAACCTAAAATGAAAGGAAAATTAATTTAATACAAAAATTACACATCATCATAAAATAATTAATAAATCGAAAACCAAAAAAAAATTAACGTCACATGTAGAGATGTACCAAAAAGAGTAATATCCAAAATCATATCTAATAATATCCACAATTTATTAAAATAGAAATTACCATTTACCGATTCAATAGAAATAAATAATATATAATATAATTTACTGATTAATATATACGGGTACAAGCTAGATGGACCGGGTTCCAAAACGAGTCGGGACCATCTAATCTGTCAGTATCTATAAAACTATATATATCTGCCAAACAAAACAGGTGAAGTAAAGCAAAATCTTAAAATATACATATAAGCTTCAAGTATGATAACGGCACGTAATACCAACTGCGACCACTTTATATGTAATCCGAACCACTCCCAAAATGCTCGAGATCCGGATGCGTTCCACCAGGCGGCCTGCGTGGGTTCCTGTAAACGATCGACTTTCAATAACACCATTTCCATGTTTCTTGATAACTGATCAATGATATTAGAGACACTACCTCGCAAACCGATTTGGCTCAAAACCAGGAACATCTGGTGGRCCAAAAGGATCGAACCGAGCACCAGGTGGAACACCCCTGTTTCATTTCCATATGTTTCTATAAGTAACACAAAGACACTACTACATTTCTCTTTTAGTTTCTCCCAAAATACTTGTTCATTTTCAAAAGTAGCATCTACCTTAATTCTACCGATGGATGATAAAATTATCATTTAGTTTATTAAAAAGTGRAATAGTTACACATTTCTAAAATTGTATGTYTTTTTCATTACAGACATTTATTYGGGACGGAGGAAGTAGATAGTTGAAGAAATCACTCACGGTTGTCCTCCAGGGAACCCCATTGTTCCGCCACCGACCCCACCAAAAAATCTGGGATCGTTTGGTCCTACACACATGATCGTGGTCATAATATATAACTTCTAAAAATAACACGTGAATCGTGATAAAAACAGAAGAACGTGCATACCAACGAGCATTCCACCATCACCAAAACCGCCCCTATATATCAAATTGAAGCAACGATTTCAGTTTGGTAACATTGCAAACCAGGTTAAGAGAAACGAAAGGAAAAAAAAAAGATGGTTGACCTTGTAGGGTACRTTCCTGCACCGGGCTGAGGATAGAGATCACCACCACCAACCATAGGATAAACCGGAGGCACAACTACCCTGCATTTTAATTAGTAAAAAATGGAACTTTAAAATTGTAACGTCACACATCTGACATGGATAATGCAACTCCAAGTTAAATATTTCAGAAAGATAAACAAGTAGTCAAAATGATGGGAACAGAGTGTTTCTTTTGTTTTCATTTTCATATGGCAAATTTTCAGCACTAATCATAAAATAAGTCAACCAAAAACCAAAGGAAATGAGCACAGTAAAACTAAGCAATCCTTGCCTGTGAACATACTGCAAAAATACCTTTTATTGGCCRAATAATAAATTAAATTTGGCGCTTAGGGTGCGTTTGGTAYGCAGACAGGACAGAACAGGAMAGAACAGAACAAGACAGGACARYYGTTCAGCGTTTGGTAAGACATGACAGGACTGGACAGAACTGTTTAAAATGACCAATTTACCCCCAGTGAGCTGTTTAGTGTTTTTTTCACTAAATAATGAATATAAATGTTAACAAATACAATGTACAAAGTATAACTTACATCAAACCACTACTACTTGCAAAAATACATTTGCAAAAATACATAATTTCATAATCAACTAATGATTTATGAAAAAGGTAAATATAATATAAGCATCAAGAATTCATTATCGAAGCAAATCTATATGCATTCCATACTAAGAAGAAAAAACTACTACCAACAAGCGCACAATCAATTAAAATGGATTAAATATCAAATAGTAAATAAATATAAGCATCAAGAAAACAATTTGGCTAGTGATCCCATATAGTATCATCACATTCACAAAACTTGGTTTCCAGAAAACAAAACTAATAAAAATATAGAAACCGTATAAAAATAATATTTTGAGGAYAGTAAAATRAAAGTTTTAAGAAACATAAAATACAATAAATAAAATTTAAAGAATGAATAAAATGTAAAAGAGAGACCTATTTGATGTTTTAGAAGAKAATTWAGTTTTATTTTGAGATTATATTRGTAAAATATAAGTCTGTTCCACCTTGTTCCACCCTGTTCCATGGGGTAGGGGTGGAACAASCATGTTCCACTCTGTTCYTGTCTGTTCCACATAAAATTCATGCCAAACATGGGATAGGGATCCCTAACCTGTTYTGTCCTGTCCCTGTCCAGTGTACCAAACGCACCCTTATCGATCCACCAAGAACCTAATTATGAGTGCGAAAGTTGCATATCATAATTGTTTTGGGACCGAGACATGCTAACCTTTTAAAAGAACAWATCAAGGAGATAATGGGTCTATTCAAGTTAAAATGAATATTGTAGACAGAAGTTAATACAGCGAATGAATTATATGATGACTGAAATTTGGAAATTTAGCTCGAGAGCTTGTCAAACATCTACTCCTCTCGATGCTGCAATCAAGATGGTTCATCTTGAATGGAAATCGTTGCCACTTGAAAATAGTTGAAAGAGGTGAAAGAGAAGAACAAGAACCAAGCATGTAAAACAATACATCTAGTCCATTCATGATTCATGCAAAAAGCAATATATCATAGTAAMACTTCTTATATAGAAATCATAATTACCCTGAAGGATGGTAGGGAGCATGAGGATCTTCAAGTCTAAAAGGTCCACCTCTAGGCTGATCTCTATCATCATCTTGTAGTTTTGGTTTAGAACTACAAAAAAACATACAATGTAGAAAAAACAAATTGACTGGACAAYAATACCATTGAAAAATATACAAATTTTGCATCTGGGTGACAATATCATAAACAAATTTCAAAACTACAACATTTTAAAGATGCTTTGTGCAACAAACATTTTAAAGAACATAAAACCAGTAGAAATTGATCGGGAAACAAAAAGACATAATCCTTTTTTTTGCTTTGCTTTTAAACAGTTAGAAATTGATTAGTTGGATATGTAGTGATATCACTTCCTTATCTTAGCTAAGCTAAGGTGTTTCTTTCGACCTTCATGCATATCCTACAATTCTCTTGCAATTTACCATCAAACAGACAGTTCTCTACAGATAAATGCAAAAGTCCATTGTTAATGATATAGTTGTTTTTTTCATGTAACCAATCTGGTACCCTCCCACCAAACTAAGATGAACCAAATAAAGCATTGATACTTGTGGAGAACTCTGATGAATGCAGATGAGACCGAATTCTTTGAAGAGCRTATAGTTCAGTAAAGCYCCAATCATAAAAGATAGGTCAGACAAGTATCTGAGAAGAAGAGATGTGAGTGCAGGCATCCAAATTATAYACTACAAAATGATTTGGTATCTTGAATATCAAGAATGACTGCAAAGGGGGTTGATGGAATGGTTTTGAGGGATTTGGATTTCGTGGAAGAACTTGGAATTGGAGGGATTTGGATTTGGAAGGATTTGAAATTTTTGGTGTGTTTGGCTTGCAAGATTTGGAATCGGATTGAATTTCTTTATTTGTAAATAATTCATAAAAACAAATAGTAAATAATTATAAAAATAATTAAATTATCTTTTTATTAATTGATTATTACAAAACAAATGTTTTTAACATATTTTAAAACATTATTACATACAAATCCTACGAAATCCCATGAAATACCAAGCACCCTCGTGGGATTTTAAAATCCTATGTTTGAAGGATTTCAAATCCAGGAAATCCTTCAAACCAAACATGGGATAGGAATGGAATTCAATTCCAAATCGCTCCAAATTCAATCCAATCCCGCAAACCAAATGGGACCTAAGGGTAACATAACAAGGTAAGATGATGGGAWGTGTGCATTGTTGTTATGCAAGAAGATTATAAGTGTCAAGCAACAACAAAAGAGAGCTGCCTGAGAATGGGCAAATGCTCCTCTTGTCTGACGGGATCAAAGGAAYTACCAAGGAAGAAGAAACAGACAACATTGTGTTATAGCAGCTGGAGCTCAYATTGTCCCTCATGATTGAAGGTGTATAAGGCTCTTGCTATCTTGAAATCCCCTCCGGTTGATATTTAGGATACCAAATCAATTTGCAGTGCATGATTTCTATGGCCCCATGCTCCCACTCATATCCTTTCTTCAAAGCATTCTCCCTCAATTTATGATTCTTGTGTACCAATATGGYGGCAGGTCACAGGTGTCAACAACAACCGCACTTAGAATTAGGAATTGGCTAATCATTGGGAAGTTACAATTGTGCTTACTGCTTCTCTGACAAAATTATTTGATAATATATAGTATATTCTTACAAGTAAGTTATAAGTTAATATCTTTATTAAAACCAATGCCCACAAGAAACCCCATTCYGTGCAAAGTTGCTCGCTTAGATCATCATAAGAAAATTAAGTTATCTGTTAACATAGCGGCGCTGAAGTTCGGGTCTTCTTGTTAGCTCAAAGTGTGCAAGATTTTAGAATACCTTGAGTAGAAACTAAAAAAAAYTGCTACTCTATGATAACAGGGATCAAAGCAACAACATTCCAACGCTATACTTATCAACTCTGGTTACTGGTTAGGTGGTTTATCAGCATTAAGCACCTATCAAAGTCTGAAGCAAACACTCAGATAACAGTTTAAATTATGTTATTATGTGTTAGAAGCTGTAGTTTGAAAGATACCATTTAAGATTCTGAAGTATCATTTTTAGTTATATGGTCTCATGGATTATAGAAGTCGAAAGATGGCTAATAAAGTCTAGTMACTTATGTCTGCYTGTTAACTTCCTTCCTTTCGAGAATTCTTGATATTAACATGCTACAGCTGTTACGACTCATAAACTTCAGAGAGGTCCTTGGGTTAAGTATAACCTTATGCCAATTCAAGCTTGACTTAGTAGTTCTCCATATCAACTACTCTTTCCAAAACTAAAAAATAAAGCTACCAGATCTCCACCATGTTGCTTTATGAGCAAAGTGTCAGYGCTGGTGGATTTTTGGGTTGAGGCAGACACCTAACTGATGGGTTTGTGATTAACTAATTAATTACAATATGGTATCCACTACGTTGATAATGACCCTTATGATATGGTTGATATTTTGATCACTACTCCTTCATGCCTCATGCATATAATATGTTAACGATTCAAATAAGGGTTTAAGCCTACAACTATATGTTTCTTGTTTCCTGGTTCAATCATTTTGGAGGGATTCCAGTCTAATGTCCCTTGCATATAGTCAAAAGTTAGTAAGTAAATAGTCTGTGATCTAAGCATCCAATTTTCTTCTTTTAACATCAATGACATTCAAGTAGTGAACAAGGTCTTCATTATGTCCCCCACTACTATTTGGTGTACACAAGATTGGTTCACACCTTGCTTCTACCACATTGTATAATTAGCATCTATAGTAACACCACTAAGTGACAGGGGTCAATCCAATGGGTCCACACTATCATCAGTAGGTTGTTCTAGAAAAACAAAAGGAATTATGTCATGGATATATAACAAGCCCACTTCAACCACTCACAAATACTCCCTCTGTTTTACAATTACATTTCACTTCCTAATATTTGCAAAAGTTAATGATGCATATGTATGTATGTATGTATGTATGTATGTATGTATAGACAACCCAAACTCCCAATGCATCATGAATTATATAAGAAGTTAATGAATAATGAAAAATGAAATATCAAAACACATTCGGAAGGCCAAACTCTGATAGTTTATAAACTAGAAGAAAGCTAATAAATTTTAWTAATTTCAAAGAACATGGACTAATTACCTCGTAGTGGTGGTGGATGTGCTTGCTGTTGAAGAACCATTCAATTTGGTTAAGACATCTTTGTTAATGCAATCTACAAGCTTTCCCAAGTTTTTAAACTGTGAACTGTATTTGGTGTCATCACTTTCTCCAACRAAATCATCAATACTGCATGAAAGGAATATCCGTWATATACTGTGGGATATTGAAACAGATGCAACAACCACATATGCTAAGAAGAATTCAAGTAATAACATGCTAGCAAATCGCCGTGACCGTGGTTATATATACATGCAAAKAGTTATATGAACAATTCAGATGTAAAATTGAGTTTCAAATATAAACCATGAAAATGTTACAAATAAAGCATATATTAGAAACAATAGAGATATTATGGAAGATGACAGAGTTCATTTAGTATGATCATTGCTTTAGACACTATAAAGCGAAGGTGATTACTTGATCTCGAGGTGAACAGGGCTAGMAGAGCCGGCAGCCAAAGCATCAACAAACAACTGGTTGTTCATAACAAGGCACTTCACAAGAACTTTCTTTGAACCCTCTTCTGGGCTTGAGTAAACAAACGCATAATTATCTTCAATATCATTCCAACCCTCAATGCCCGCTTCATCTAAACCCACAGAAACAATAGGTCAAAAATGGAAACGCAGAGAAAACGCATGGGATCAAGGTTTCGAGCTTCGAATTTGGAATTTGAACTTGTTCGGTTCTCGAAATGATGTTCCAATAATTCCAATCCAAACCTTAATTCTATGCTAAGTTGCCTACCTTTCGTTAGAAATCAAAACCCTAGTTCATTGAAAACCCTAAAACCAAGTTGGAAACAATATAATATACAAAAAGGAGTACCAGAAAAGGGGGCGGCAAGGGCATCGTCAGTGAAGGCCGGGGGACCAGTGGCGTTGAGATTGAAGCCAGTTGTGAGAAAAATCGAGTGTATAGCAAACGCAATTTTATCAGCGGAGTTCCTAAAGTTGGGCSTTGAAGCCCTTATCACAGCCAATACCGATTGCTCAGTCGCCATTGTTTGGATCARTTTTCACCCGAGTGTCTCTTGGATTGCCTTGACTTATACTCCGAGCATCAAGCTCTTGAGATTGCAAACCGTGTGGAGGCTTCGATCTACATATGGCGAGGAAAAAACAATGTGAAACCCGTAAATGTGGTGAGTYGGTCCTTTTCAAGGTCATCATGGGACAAGGTTAAGGTTTTGGTAGCCGATCTCGATAAAAGGGATAAGTTAGCGAATAGATCCGAAAGCCTCTTGCCRGGGCCGGTTCAATGGTTTTGGATGCCCTGGGCGAATAGTAAAAAAAATGCCCCTACCTCCGAAAAACAAAGAACRCATTGGTTCCTTTAGAYACTATCATATATSCTCAAAACTTGCAAGCTAATTAGCAGCTGTCTCCTATATAGGTATGCCTCAATAAATAGAAATTGTTGAAGGGTTATAACATTTTACTTACTACAACAAAGTGGGTTTTCAAAACAAAATGACTTCTACAATACTTGTGTTAATGCCAATTTGATGTTTCTAATGAAATCTTATTTTGTGATRTCACTCATCCATGAAGCCTTTGCGTTTTCTATATGTGGATCAACCTATTTGATGGAATAACCAACCGTCCATTGGTTAACCTCAACGACAGTCAGAGTAGAAACATCATCATGTAAATTAGGAAAACTCTAATTCAGGGCCTGATCTTCATATATGACATGTTTCCCTGCCTCAACAGAATCATTGATTGCCTATTAACATTCCATTCGGTAGGCAAGAAGGGCAATTTCAGTGAGGGTTGGATCATGAAGATATGCCAAATTCTAGTCTGTCTATCTCAAGCTAAACGTTGTGAGATCTTGTCTCCTTTAGATAGTGAGATATGCCAAATTCCACCTTGACCACCATTTTCTAATATCTACATACAAACAGAATGCATAGCTTCTCTATTAGAAGCATCAAGAATGTAAATACCTAGGACATTTACACCAATCRTATCACTACATTGGTTTACTGAACCACCAATTAATTTGTTTTCTTCTTTCTTTCACTTCCACTATCCACCATCCACTAAGAGAATGTATACAACTCCATTTTGATCGTTTCTTGTTTTCTAAGATCATGGTTCCAYGTCATTTCGTTATTATACACTTTTAAAACATAATTTACCACTGAACCATGGATTAAAAACTTACTTGATCGTTGATTTCTATTCTTGATTWCATTGCACACCTCTAACTTCAAATGGCCCTAACTTGCAACTTTTCTTACTTTATTTGCTTCTTCTACTTTATTTGCTTCTTTAGGGAAAGTACAAATGACCGAGAAAGATCCTTTCCACCTAGTTTGGAGGCTTAATAATTATTAATATCATAGAAAATTAAAAAGAAAATGATAATAATCAACAAATTATCAAATAGMAACTAACCTAATATAGTTTTACATCGATKTTAATGCTAGAAGAATAATGGAAGTGATTTGAGCCTATGGAAACTACACAAAAAATATAAACCATGTCATTAGTCATTACTTCGCATAATAGTTCAATCCAGAAATGGTAAGTTCTAGARGTTAGCCTAGTCCTCCAGATATTTTTCTYCAAATTCTCTATTCTCTGAAATCATGTTCTTCAACAATASTGTAATGGGGTTTCTGCTATTAGCCTATTACGTTGCAAAAGACAACCACTCAACCAGAAATATTTCAAAGTTCCAAGGAAGTTTCGAAGTACATGACTACCTGAGAGGGAGCGCCAATTAGGGAAGGGGAGAACGGAGCGCCGGAGCGGGAGCCGGGATGGAAGAGGAAGACGAGGACGGACGTCGGACTGGAGATTAGCCGCCGATGAGGCGGTTRCGGATTAAGGATGACCGGAAGAGGAAGTCACGAGGACGGACGGGAGAGAGGACGAGAGTCTGGATTCTGGTGACTGGATCAGGACCAAGGAGGCGAGGACTATTCACTATAGTATAGCAGACTTGGGCTAGAATGATGCCCCTTGGCCTGATGATGCCCTGGGCAACGGCCCRCCCATGGACAAAGGTTCCCTGCCCTTCCTCAAACATCTTTGCAAGTGTTGGATTGTTTACCTCTTAATGGTTTTATAAATCATTAAAAGATAATTCTGAATCATTAAAAGGTAAATTTTGTTTGATAAAGAAAAATTTGTTTTTTAATGGTTCTAAAACTCTCTGAATGATTTTGTATCTTAGACCTCCCTTAATCATTCAGCGTTCTGATTTCATTGTAAACAATTACTAAACAATTATATTTTATTTTGTACTATATCAGAAAAGTTAATTATTCTGATCACTTAATCATTCTGTACCAAATCATTCAGTAACTGCTAAACATCTCCTAAGATCCAATATAACAAGGTATATATCATCATCACCTCTTGCACATGGGCTTTCGGTGAAAAAGGAAATTATGCTGAAAAAGCGTAAGAAGAGATCTTTATATTTGGATTAATTCTAATTGAATATAAGCATTAATGAGGTACCCCAATATGCACCTGATCAATTTCCTTATAAGGACGTGAGATTAAAAATGATCAAGTGTTCAATTTTTTTTTTACGTTTCTCATTTTTACTTCTCTTTTTACGTTATCTTTCGTTTATATATATATATATAGATGAAAGATTATGTAAGAATGAGAGTTATATAAGCCTAAAACCAAGTTAGAAATCAAAAGCAGCCAATGATCGACTGCCACGAATAATGACAAACCCATGTTAGGGGCTGTTTGGCAGTCTTAACTTCCTCACACAGCACACAAACCCGATTTGGATGTTTCCACGTCAATTATCCCTTTGTTCGTTGGAACTTCATCCATTTACTTTTGTTCCCTTCTTAACCTTTATTTTTAATGTAAAATTAATTTAATTTATTATCTATATTATATTATAAATCATCCGATAAAAACTTTTAAAAATCATTTTTATGCATAAAATACTGTTTATTGATGCATATTATTTAAAATTCAAGATTGCACATAAATCATGCATAATTACGACTTATTAAAACTCCATGTTTAAATTCGTATAAATAACTACTGATAAACATAATCAAATACAAAATTAACATTTCATTTTAAATATAAAAAATCTAAAATATAATTTTGATAATTT